TTGTGGATGTGATAGTCCATTTTTTGATGGCCTCTTATTCCCTTAGACTAAGTCGATTTGATCCCTTTCCTCTTCCTCTTCTAAGTTATTATTGTCACATCTTATTCCTTCTATAACAATGTGCTGAAGGGGTCAGCTGAGGGGTGTAAGTCCTTCCCTCTGCAATAAAAAGCCCCTCATGTCTGAATATATGTGATGTGTACACCCACTCTCAGCCCTGTAATTCTAAAGAGTTTTTGCTCTTTGTATCTGCTTAGTTACCTAAAATCAGATTGAATATTTCCTGTTAAAGTTTCCAGTATGAAGTTTGAGAGTATTATGTTTGAAGAAGGATCTGTGGTTTTTTAATTCATTGCTCCTTGTGGTTTTTCAAAATCCAAAGACTGTTACTCCAAAAAGAACATTCCTCTCTCTAGTGTTTTGTTTTAATCAAGCTCTGGTTCTGTATTGATTTGTCAGCAGTGTTTATGTTTGGTTCCCTGTGAATTATTAGTGATTTTACTACAAGACGAAAGTCTATAATTGGCTGCTTTGATGGTGATATAGTGGAACATCTAAAACCAAATGAAGATTCTCAAGAGCACTCTCTATCCGAAGAGATTTATGAATAAGGAAGTGACTCTACAGTATAATTAGTCTTGTGTACTTTTATTTTGACTACAAGAATCTTGAGAAACTTGAAATTCAACTCTAATGATTGCTGATTTTACAATCAAAGAAGGGCATGAGTTCTTCTTTCATAGAACTCCTTAAGGAGGTGAAATATTCCAGTCTGCCTGAATTGATTTAATAATTTTTATTTATTTATTTTTCCCCCCAAAGCCCCAGTAGATAGTTGCATGTCATAGCTGCACATCCTTCTAGTTGCTGTATGTAGGACGAGGCCTCAGCATGGCCGGAGTAGCAGTGCGTCAGTGCCCGCCCGGGATCCGAACCCGGGCCGCCAGCAGCGGAGCGTGTGCACTTAACCGCTAAGCCACGGGGCCGGCCCCATGCCTGAATTGATTTAGATAAAACCTTCCTAGAAGCAGGGGGATAGACTAAATAACTTCAAAGAAACTTCTGAATTCTGTGACTTGTGGATTCTATATCTTAAGAAAAACAGAGAAAACTTTGCATGGGTTCAGGGAGAGCCTTCAAAGATAATCAAAGAATTAAAAAATAAGGCCAATGAGGAAAGGTTAAAGGAATTGAAATTAATTCTCCTGAATAAAGGAAGTCTAAGAAATGATTGGATAGTTTTGTTATTTGAAGATAGCTATTATAGTATTCAAAGGTTATTGAGGGGCTGTTTTATCTTGTTATTGAGGACATAAGAGAAATAGGCTTAAGTTTCAGTAGAGGAGATTTAAATTACATATTAAAGACCTTCCAAACCATGAAATTTGTTAAACACCAGCATGAATTATCAAGGGAAGCTGTAGAATCTCCTTCCTTTGAGCCTGTCTTAAAAATAGAACAAGTAACCAATGGGGGAAGGACAGTCTTTTCGACAAATGGTCGTGGGAAAACTGAATATCCACATGCAGTGAAGTTGGTCCTTACCTTACATCATATACAAAAATTAACTCAAAATGGATCAAAGACCTAAACATAAGAGCTGAAAGTATAAATCTTTTAGAGGAAAATTTAGGGGAAAAGCTTGATGATGTTGGATTTGGCAGTGATTTCTTGGATATGACACAAAAAGCACAAGCAAGGAAAGATAGATAAGTTGAATTTTATCAACATTAAAAACTTTTTTTTTTTAATAATTTTATTTATTTATTTTTCCCCCAAAGCCCCAGTAGATAGTTGTACGTCATAGTTGAACATCCTTCTAGTTGCTGTATGTGGGACGCAGCCTCAGCATGGCCAGAGAAGCGGTGCGTCGGTGCGCGCCCGGGATCCGAACCTGGGCCACCAGCAGTGGAGCACGCGCACATAACCGCTAAGCCACAGGGCCGGCCCAAAAAACTTTTTTTTACTGTGAAATTTTTGTTGTACATTATTGTTTATCAGTCACCA